CCTTCTTTTTCACACCGTCGAAATCTTACGAGATCAGGATAATTAAGCCGACCTGGCCATCCTGAGGAAGCATTTCCCAGAACACCCGAAAATTCTGTCTTAGTACTTATTCCGGCGAAGTAGCCAAATTTTCTCGGTAACAAAACTGTTAACTCACTTCGGAGGAATCCTTTACGACGAGCTCTTCGATGGTAACCGGTGCCCGATCATCGCCTTCGTCAATCGCGGCAACCCGAGACTTGCTCGGACCCCGTTTCCCCTTCGGGAAGCCCAGAATCGGCATCAATAAGGTCCAATCACTTCACCTCTTCGCGTCACTCAAACCAACGCACCTGGGCCACGAAGTCACACCCCGTTGTGTTCCAGCACTGGGAACACACAATGCACAGAATCGTAATCAAAGCGACGCACTCGGGCTACCCGACACGTTGGTGCGAAACTACACGTCCGCGCGCTCACGACGTTCCCGCGAATCTGGGACAAGGCAAAGGAACGAAGGACGCGGGGTCTTCAAAACCGAATGCGATTATTTTTCCAACCCGAAAAACAGTATACAAAACGAAGAAACACTGAGGTTCTATTTTTCCTCTGTGGTTTAGAAGAGGAGCACACAAGAAATGTCCACGAAGGCGAGTGTTCTTCGTCTCGAATTCTCTTCATACCTCGCGAGCCGGGATATTTTTAGAGCGGGTGGGCAAAAAACGAAGGACGCGTTTTCATGGGGCTGAACTCTGAAGTCACTTTGCGATCTATGCTTTTCCGCGCGCTTTTTTCCTCTCACCACACTTGGATCCCATCTTGGATCAGCAGTGTTGCCATCAATGGCTGATTCACGGTCTAACGTACCAAGTACTGTAAAGTAAATGAAATAACACAGCCCTTCGTTTCATTATTGAAGCCACGAGAATTTGCTTTGAGAAATGAAGCCGTAATCTTCTCTCAATCTGTTGGATCTATAGTCATCCTTCAAGGTCAAGGGGTCGATATACTTCTTCGTTTCTCTCTGAGGAAAATCGCAGATCCAGTTTTCCAGGGTCACAGATGCGTCATTGTCCTCGTTGACAACACTGCGTTTGTTCAAATGCCCCCCCCCCCCCCATCATCCTTCTGAGTGTCACGTTTGCGGAACGGTACGTGGTTCACGGTGCCAAACCATGATCTACGCCATTCAGATTTGCTTCACCGGAACTTGAGTTTGCTCTCTGTCTTCGACATTCTTCGGTATTCCTCAGTGAACTCGGTGATTAATGCTCTGAGACCGCGAGAATGACGTAGGTGGAAAGGTGGTGCATTCTGTACCATGGTACAGTACAGTATATATTATAGTGAACAAGCTGGGCACAGAAGATTTCTGTCGATAGGGAAGTGTTATACGTAATTCAATACGACACTGGCGACTATTACGGAAAAAGCGCTCTTTCGCCAATTTTTCATGAAAATAAGTGTTATTTTCTGCTCTCTGTACTTCCTTCCTGTTTTCGGAGGCATCAGCGTGATATTTTGGCAGTGGATTTGTCGAAGCAAACCTTTCACACGTCGGAATTATTGGCATTTCCCAGTAAATTGTGTTTTACCGATGAATGATGATTTCGTTTCGGTGCATTGGCCTGGATTTGCGGATTATTTTGTTATTTATTTCATCCGACAATTTTGTCCTGCAACTTACTGAAAGTTACTTGTGAATTATATTTCTCATACCGGATGTTTGGAGACGTTTATTGAGTAATGTATCTAATACGCCTAATTGAAGGAAATGAAGATAAAATGTTTTCACTTTTGTCGAACGCGGCAATTTTGATACAGACGTACTATTGTTGATCGTACCTTGGTGCTTTTTGTCTGGGAAAGTCGTGAAATCAAATGCTTCGATGTCGGTCGAGTCGTCGGATTATTTGGTGTCTTTTGCAGTCCTTGAGAAGGAAAGTCGATTGTCATCACAGGTTAGTGACAGTAAAGCTTTTCAATATCGAGTCTCGAAAGGGCTGACCAATGTTAACCAGCATGTGTTAATTCCTTCCGGAAACAGAATTCTAGGGTCGTAATTGGAAGCCGAAAAAATTCAGAAAGCTGCTGTGCTTCCGGAACAGTTACGGTATCTCAATCAGTCATGTGTTTTAAACGTAGTTTTCCCGGCCCCTTTCCTTCTTTCCTTAAGAACTAACTGTCAAGATTTTTCAGCCAAGATGCGGGTCGTCATTTTGCCGTGGTTAAAACCTTTCTTCTTTATACGAGCTGAGAAGAGTCAGAAGCTACACGTTATCTTCGATTTCTTTTCTTGAAAGAGCCAGGTCTTTTTGAACAAGAAACACTTGAGCGAATTCTAAAACAGCGCGTGCGAAAAGATGAACGAACAGAAAATATACCGTAAATTGGAAAGAAGTAAAAAAGGGCATTTTTAAATATTCTTTGTGCGGAGAAGCTCCTAAATACCCTCAATAACGCCGATGAACCTTTTTGCTCTGATTAGTTATTGCGCTGCTTTTCGTTCGCATGCTCTTTCGGATATCTTGACTGTCACGGTGCAGTACGTAATTTTAGTACTGTATGAACCTCGATTAAACGCATTGAGAAGTACAGTATTTGAGCGACACTTGATGAACTTGAAAATTACAATTCAGCAATCGTGTTCTATGCAGTCTGCTGTACCAAATTCAGGTAGACTATCTCAAATTCTCAATGACGATCTTGTCTACAACGATTTTCTCTGTACAATACAATGATTTTTTGTGGTCCCATATTTTCTCTCCCCATGTTGTAGGCGTTCTCTGAAATGAAATTCTCTCCAAAACTAATTTTTTCTGGTCCCTCTAGTGTCGTAGTGAAAGTCCATCTGTATTTTCTTGATGGCAGTTGTCAGGAATAAAAGAAAAAAATCTCTTACCATTGGGAAAGCAAGAGCGTAGCCAACTGCTGTCTGTCCCCCGTTTAGCCACGCTTATCTGGATGATATTTGAGAAATCGTCCGAATCGGAAAACCTGTTTTTTTCTGGATCTGCTTCGAGAATTTCTGCACGTTCAGCATCCGAAAAATGTCACAGAAATACACCTGGGGCTTCTCAAGAGTTTTTCAAATCGTCATTCCCGCATATTCTGGTGTTGACAATAAAAACGCAATTTCCGTTTCACCCAGGAAAAAAAAATTCAGAATCTTTTTCCTGTGCCGACGAGCAAAAAAGGAACAAGCGTTTATTTTCCTATGCTTTGGGGTAGCGAACTTCAGCCGATGAAAAAGAACCCAGAAAATGATTAGTAAACACCTTAAGATTCACCATTCGGAAGTGACAACCGCATCAACTAGTTTTAAATGGGACTACGGCACTGCCTTTAGTGAAAAGGGCGTAATTAGTTTTTTTGGAAATTAGATGTTATGTTTATATTTGTGATTGTATGGGAGTTGAGGTTCCTTCTCCCAGTTCCCATTTTGAAAGGAGAATATTTTCTTGTTGCTGAGTTTAACACACACACACACACACACTGATGAAGTCTGGGATGACAGTATACAGTACCATCATCTGATTTCAAAAATATTTTTGACTCTGTCATATATTTCAATTCAAATTAGTTCAAGATTTTCAGTTTAATTCAAACATTTAAACAAAATACTGTAATACAGACCTTCCCTCTGCAATGAAAACCATTTGATGTCATCTGAATCAGTCATCAATTATAATTTTATTGATTTGGGTAACACCTGTCAGAAACAAAGATTGGGCATCCAAGTGAAACAGACAGAAATGTAGCATCACCTTCAGCTGAAATTTTTGAGCTGATCAACATCTTCTCATTTACTCATCCAATTCCTGAAATTTTAAATTAAAAATTTTGAACAAATTTTCACCTTTCATGTTTTTGTGTCTTGATCTCTTGAATAAATACTGCGTATCACACGGTGACATCTAGCGACATTTATATGCAGCGGGTAAACTACAGGAAAACCGTCGAGGATTTGAACTTTTAGGAGTCTATGTAGATGTCGCTTTGAGTAGGATGTGGTACTCGTTCGGTTCGGATGCAATTCGCGCAGATTTCTCCCAGATGGCGCTCTCCCAGCAAATGGCGATAATAAAGCCTTGTATAATAGTGCAGTGTTAATAAAGCCTTGTATATTAGTGCAGTGTACACAAATAATAACCGAATTTCTTCTTTTAGTCCGTAACGGGATGAAAAAGTGAAATACAGAACTGTGGTAGAATAGCAAATCTAATCAGCTCCTGGGCGAGTTTTGCTCTGCAAAATTTTATCAATGTAAAATCCTGAATTAAAATTTCGGAAAATATTCAATCTGGATCAGACACGCACAAGCTGTCTTTGAAAAATCTTCTATGCCCCCTGTTTTGAGGAAGTCTTTTTTTTTAATTGTAAACATTAAATTGAAGTGTGATTGGGTTACAGATCCTTGCGTGTAGTTGTATGTCTACTCCGTAAAAAAAAAACCTAAATTTAATTTTTTGATTCATCCTTACAGCCTGCTTAGCAACAGCAACAATGATATCAGCATTGAGAGAATCGTGTTACAATGAAACAAATGCCGGTTGACACGTGCAGGGTTCGCGGGTCTTGTTTCGCAGAACGTGTTGCTCGGAAATGCGACCATTTATTTCTTGTTTCATTCATTGGTGGGACAAACAAAGAAACGTTTCCTTACATGGAACTTGAGTAGCTTCAAATCGTGTTTTTCTCGCTTGCGTTGGGTATAGGATATTCGGTTTGATTATTTCTCGCAACTATTTTTCTGTTTTTTTTTCTGGGAGTTTTAGAAGAATTTTCACGTATTTTCACATTTTTTGATGATTTTTGAATGTTATGCACGTAAAAAAATATTATTTTGTCGTCGTTTGCGGAAACTAGAGATGTTTTCATTATTACTTCAATAGACGCAATTTTGAACCCCGAGAACGATTTTTATTTATTTTTTCTTGTCTGCGGTATCAATGCGGTATTTATTTTGTATAGTATACGCTGGTACAGGGATGTTGAAGTTGTGTGAAATAAAGAAACGCTTGATGGTCGGTTTTTGTCAGAGACTTCATATTTCTCTTTAATTGATCCACAACGTAAGGAATGTGCAATTTAGTCGGAATAGAGCTTTTCAATCTCCGGCCTTTGAAGTTTGAACCAATGCCAACCTTCTTCTTTGGTCAAGTTAATTGCTCCTTGACCAGTGTACAAATTTCTGGCCAATGGGTCCAATGTATTTGTCACCAGGTCCATTCTTGCACATGGCTCTCTCATTGCCACCTGCCAAAATGTCAGAGAGAGAGGATTTTAACTTTGAAAAAGAGCCATTTTAAGTTACAGAAAGTTATTTATGTGCACTAACTATTGTGGAAATACTGTATTGTAAATTTTAGGGGATTATTATTATACTGTACTTATCTTTGGATGGGCCTGGAATGATTCTTTTTCATGCATGCAACAGCAAAATCTTTGTTGATTGGGAAACAAACCCCTTTATCTTATATTCAAATCACCTTTTGATAGCTGTGCAAAAATTAAGCTACTATAATTCCAGACCAAACATAATGCCTGAACTCATCTCACTTAATTTAATGATGTGTTGTGTTCTGATGTACTGTACATGTGAACCTTGATCATTCAAACCTCCCTAAGTCAAATACCCCCCTAAGTCAAATTTTTTTCAGATCCCCATCTGAATCCCCTTAGAAATAATGCATTAAAAACTTCCCTAATTCAAAGGCTTTCCCCCTCAAACCACTGTAAGTCAAATTTTCTGTAGCCTGTTGACTACCATTTTCTTTACACAATGAAGAAAAACAGTATACAGAAATGGATTTTTCCAAAAGGAAGTGAAAGACAAAATTGGGCAAATAAACCCCTGCCTACAATTTCAGCATCCTTTCAACTCATTTAAGAAAAATTTAAGCCCCAGAATACCACTATTTACAATTTTTGGCAATTTTTTGATGTTTCCCAGAACAAAATAGCTTTGTATTGTAGCTCAAACCTCTATAATTTAAAATCTCCCTATGTTGAATTTCTTGCTGGTCCCTTGAAATTTGACTTAGAGAGGTTCAACTGTAATACCTTAGCTAGTCTAATCTAACCTAAAAACTTATGTTTAAGCTTTAAGGAAATGTAACACATAAACCACTTGGACTTGATTTTACTGTGTGAGTCACCAAATACCTTAACTAACGTAACCAAATGTAATTGTAAGTCACTCATCCCCTCAAGTAACTAGACAAAAGACCTAAGCTATAATCTCATTCCTAACTTGAACTAACCTAACCTAACACATGAAAAAACCAAGTCTACACCTAAGCCAAGTGAACACCTTTTTTACAGCCCCACCAACTTAAATCCACTTACCCTAACATTACAAGTAGCCTACCCAATCCTGACATTGCCAAATAATGGAAAAAAGTACTGCAGTTCTTTGCGTTTGCTGGCTCATGATTAAATCTGAGATACATAGTGTACCGTACTATTGCCACCATCTTCCAAAACAGAAAAATGTACTTGAACAAGTCTTACTTGAAAGCTTTGAAAATGAAAAAGAGGTATGCTTCCAAAACAATTTCAGTATACCTCAATCGCGTGTTTCACAAGTTGTTTTCCCAGACCCTTTCCTCTTTCCTCTGGAACAATGTAAAGATTTTCCAGCCAAGATGCTGGCCCTTGCCAGGTTGAAAACTGTTGGTATAAAAGTGGGTTTTTTCATTCACAGATTACAATCAGAAACATCACCGTTTTATCCATTTTTTTTAACGAAGAGCGCGTGCCAGAAATTGGCGGTACAAAACGTGTACTGTAATCGAAATATCGCCTGAATTTTAGTTCATGAGGTTTCTTAATCTCATATTTTATTTAATCAGGCGTGTTGACCAACCGAATCTGACCGAATCGAAAAATTCTCCGATGCTGATGAATTTGTTTTCCTTAAACTATTTTTCGTTAATGCGTTGATTTCAGTTCCTTTTACTACACATGTATTCTTTAAATATCTGGGCATGAACCCGAATTGCACATAAATCAACCAAGTAATGCTGAAATTACTTAAAAATCTTCCGTTCATTGAATCGAAGTGCTCTATTCTAGTCTACCATGAACGATAAAAGAAAAAGAAAAAAATTCACTCACATTTGGAAAAGCCATGGCGTAGCCAATTGCTGTCTGTCCCCGTTCAGCAATGCTTATCTGGATAGTTGTTAGGAAATCGTCTGCTTCGGAAAACGCGAATTTTTCTAGATCTGCGTCGAAAATTCGTGTTATGTTTAGCATTTTTAAAATGTCAAAAAAATATGCCAACGGGTTTCGCAGAAGTCTTGCAAATCAAGCAGAAATTGTTTCTTAAATTTATTTTTCGTACTGCAAAAAATTATTCGTTCAATTTTCCTCGAAAAACTCATATTTTAAACGTTTTTTTATGAATCGGAAATCGCAAAAATGGGCAAGAGTTTTATCTACATAAATTCCGGGGGACTTAGAGTTGTTGTGCCAATTAAAAACGGGAAATTTTTAGCTGAAATCTAGTGGTTACTAATTTTTTTTTACTTCTAGTTTTAATGCAGCAGGGAGTTTTTTTTTTTTTAGTCGCCGGACATTTTTACATATCATTGGCAAATTAATTTTTAAACCAACCTTCAATCGGGAATAGATCTTCCTTGACGTTCAGAAAATCCATGAAATCCTGAAAGCAAGTCCCCATGTTTTATATAAGTTCAAAAGTAAATAATTTATGTCTGAATACGTTACCTGTATCAGTTTGTGAAGTACTGAACAGTCCTTTTTGGTAGCACTTCGAACGGACACTTCTGGGTCAGCTTTTAGATTCTCCACGCTTGAAGATGAAATGTTTCAAAAATCAAGCACC